TGGTAGTTGCTGCTAAACATCAATGGCCTGTAGAATCACCTAAACATACAATATCTACTCATTTATCGTGTTACCCAAGGGTACGCGTACACGTTTATTCAACACAAAAACAAAATCAGGTAAAACTCTCCCCTCTAAAAGACTTTTTCACGGACGTCATTCTCGGTCAGTTCACATTATAACGTAATCATTCCCTTTAATGGCAACCATCCACCTGTCACTCTATGTAGTTTCGATGTAGCAAAAATCACCATTCTCTATTTGTTTAAATCTAGCCCCAAATGGTGGACCTACCGCAACGAAATCGCGTCGTCACTCAGTTTCCTATCACAATTCTATCGAAGCCGAATTAAACAATTATTGATGAACAAGAATTAGGAACTTTCCATATCTCCTTGGCGGGCACAGGTTCTTGTAACAACCAGCGACAGACATAAGAAACGTATGATAATTGACTACAGCCAAACGATAAACCGTTTCATTTATCTTGTGGCTTATCCTCTGCCACGAGTGGATGAACTAGTGGAAAAGGTGACCGAATATTCTGTGTTCAGTACACTTGATGTGCAAAGCACCTATCACCAAAGGTCCCGTTCGAGAAGAGGAAAAGCCATAAACAGCATGTAAGTTTTGTCAATTCTGCCGTATTCCATTTGGGGTTACGCACAGAGTGGCCTGTCAGCGTGCGATAGATAATAAAGAACATCTACAAGATACAATCGCGTACGTTGTGACATTTGTGTGTTTCATTGTTTCATTGCTACGATTGATTGCTATCAGTAGCCAAACCCTATTCGAACAGTTTTCACAGTTTCCATCTTTCCGATTGGTTGACTAATCCGTCTCTATCTTGGTGGCCAGCCACCTTGATTTGCTTACCGTTTGCTCTGACCATCACATATTGGTGCTCTTTGTCGGACTGCAGGTAAAATTACTTCGAATGTACTTTTCCTTCTGATTTCAACCTTGTTGTTTACCACACCATATGTTAACGTATTGCTTTATCATTAAAGAACCACTAAAGACAAGAATATGAGAGGTTACGACTATCTTCTGATATTGCTATTGATCTCGGGGTGCGTACGTTGGACCAAGGACTACCAAAGTACCATAGACACGAATCGCGTAGTAACATACGTGGACAACGTTAGTGTGGGACCGTGACCCGGAAGAACATGATCAAAATCTCTGCAACTTCATCGATGCTGCCAAGAAACGCAGTATCACGTTCAGTGAACACAAGTGTAATCGGGGCTAGAAAAATCCTTCTTCTCGAAGTTTCCAAAGGCTTAATCAAGCCAAACCCCCAAAGATTCTCGGCCTTGAAGGAGCTACCTCCGAAGGATATCGCTTCGAAAGGACGAGTGGGGGTATGCTGGCGTACTATCCTCAATGAACAAAATTTATCCATCAATGCATAACCAAATCTTGCCCATTCCGGACAACGCAAAACCCTCTTTCGAAAAGTTGAAGAAAGAACTGGAAAAGGTCGCTATTTTTACCCATGATTACAACCGCCCATTAATCGAGTGAGCGCCACCACTCAGAGATCGAAAAAGAAGCTTGCGCAGTCGTTCTAAGTGGAAACATTCTGCTCAGGAACAACTTTACTCAAAGACGGACCAGCGTTCAGTCACCTTTATGTACAACAAGCAGCATAAATGCAAGGTGGAAAACAGTAAAATTCAACGATGGAAATTGGAGCTATCGAGCTTTCATTACAACATCTAGTATCGAACTGGTGGCAAAATCAAGCTGTCGACACAATCTCCCGAAACCGATGGATTTTAGCCATGCCACACACTGACTTGAAACAGTTACACAACACTCAATGTCATCCCGGTATCCCACGCTTGCTGCATTTCATTTGTTCTAAGAAAGCCTCAGCTTGGTTGGGGCGGATGTCTGGGGTTGTAGCTAGTCAGCCTACCCTTGCACCTCACGAAATGCTTTGGTGGTAAGCAGCTTTGCTGTCGTCCAGTTCAATACCACACCTAACCTATCGGGGCCTTATGTGGTTGGCCACTCCAAGTTGCTTAAGTTGCCGTTTTCCATCGCTAAACAGCAGGCCTTCATGACCCCCGTCTGCTGTTGATCACACTAAAGTGTGTGTAATAAAAAAGAAATAGGACCCAGTGTCTCAAACAGCTTCTGCTGAGGAAGCCCTACTCACTGCCTTCTTGTGGAAGTGTTTACCCACCAAAGTGAGGACGAAAAGCCAATATCCCGAGGCTA